GGTCACTATGAGTTGGTCCGATTCAATGGCACATAACAACAACAACAACATAATCTTGTACACTATGAAGTAGGTCTCATATTTCCCATTCACAGAGGAGGAAACTGGGTTCAGAGAGCTAAACTTCAACACCTAAAGTGATATAACTGGTAAGTGACAGACCTAGGATTTGAGCAAGAGCCCTACAGTCACAGTGGTTTGAACCCACTAGGATCCCTCAGGAGAAAGAACTCAATGGCAAAGGGTTTGGTTTTGGGTTTTTTGGTCTGACTTCAAAACTTGTGCTCTTTCTTCTACATAAAATCAGCGAGAAGAGAGAGCGCTTGGCTTCTTTCCTAGCCCTTCCCCTCCAACATTGTTTTCACTTCTCAAATTATGCAGAGAACTTTCTACTCCATCAGGGTTAGGTCTAGCCCTGAAATTATTTCAGGGATGCTGCTGCCTTCTGACCTTGAACTTTGCTTCTGTTCCCTCAGACCCCAGCCTGCTTTATTTAGCTCCCAAAACCCAGCTGGAAGCAGCAAACCCTTCCAGTCTTCCCAAGTCTGATATGGCAACACTGGGCAGAGAGCACAGAACAGAGATGAGACCTCTGAAATGGAGGAAGAATGGGAAAGAGGTAAATTTGCCCCTGGCTCAGGAGGTTTGAATTGCCAGGAATGTTTCCTGGAATAAAAGCATAGCAGAACTCTCTCAGAAAGCACCTGGGCTTTGGCTCAGGGCTCTGCTATGTCACCTGGATCTTCTTAGGTAAGGAAGAATCCCTGAAAACTGTTGTGATGGTGTAGAATGGCTAAGTCACCCAGCTTTGGCTAGAGTTGTTATGTTGGTGTGAGTGTTGAGGTAAGGGGGTAGAGGGTGACATTTGTTAGATATACTGAAAAGGCTGCCTGCTAAAATTCTCCCAAAGGATTCCATAGCAGAGTTTGTTCCAAACAGTGGTATAAAGTTACAAACTTCCCACTACCCACACCTTTATCCCCTGCTCTCCAATATAGTGCACTGACTTAATTATCCACGCTCAGTAGAACAGTTAAATTGATGTCTATTTTCTTAGAGTAAGTTTAAAACCTTTGCAGATAGTGGTCACATGCCTTGGTAAGTAGGACAGGGGGTAAGCAGAGAGAGGAGATCAGAGGCCCTCAAGTTAGGGCAGAGCACCCTTGGCTCCAATCTACTTGGCAAAGCAGTGGATTGGCTTGTACATTTTTCTGTGTCTCTCTCTGCACATCAGATAACCGAGCTATGAACGTCAGACTGCTCCCTTTACATCTCTGCTGGGGGCTTGGTGGGGAGGAGGGAATAGGGAAAGGGCTCCCTATTTAGAAATTGCGTTGAGATGGAAAGACAATATGACACATCAGCTCATGTCAAAGGATCTCATTCTTCCACCTACAGCATTAGCAATTTCCTACAAAGGTTCAATCTAAAAAAAAAAAAAAAAGTAATAATATTTGGTTTTAATTTATTTTATTTGTAGCACAACTCAACAGGACATTGCTGGCCATAACAAGGTGGGAACCTGCCCAAGGGCAGTCCGGCATCTGCCTAAGATACTTGGTGCCAGTGGATGTGCATCTTGCCTGTTTCTGCAGAGAGGAGAGCATAGGAGTAGGAAGGCTGTGGACTATTCTTCAACATTCAGCCTCCCAGATTCTGAGCAGTCTGGCCTGAGGGGTCCCAGACTCAGGATGCTCCAGCCATGACTCTAGATGAGAGGAGAGCAATGGGGAAGGGAAGTCGAAGGTGAGTTTGGACATCTATAACACCACCTTCTTCTTCAGAGCCAGCAAAAACTGCTCCAGAGTTGCCCTTCCTCCTTCCTACCTCCACTCAGTCTCCTCCTTTCCCCTCATACAGAATCCTAGAATGTTGTTGCTGGAAGGAGCCTCTAAGAGCTCCTAATTCAATTTCATCATCTTGCAGAACTGAGTTTCAGAGAGGGGATGTGACTGCGCCATGACTAGTTAGGTGCACCAGTCCTAGGATCCAGGCTTCCTGACACCCTTCTGAGTGCTCTTGCTTGCCACTGACTCTCTCTGCTCCTCCTGCTTTCCTCTCATCCCCAAATCCAAACTGAGAAGGATGTTTCTCTGAGAAACAGGGTTGAAGGGCAAAAATTCTATTCCTTTCCACTTCCTTCCCTCCAGGTATATATAGATGGGACCCTCTGAGGCTGGATCTGGTCTCTTAACATGGGGGGAAAAAAAAAGCATAGATGTGTTTTGTGTATGGGTTTGTAGGGGAAAGGGGCTCGGGAGAGAAAAGTTCTCATCTTTACATAAGGATTTTTCTCTGAATTGTGACTGATAGTGTGTGACCACAATAGCATTGGCAATTAATGGGGGGAGTGTTGATGAAGATATCAACCAGGGTGGACTTTTTCTTAATGTAAGGAGAAAACATTTTTTTCTCTTTTCTTTGTGAATGTTTTTCTCTCTGTTTCTATGTATGTATGCTTCTCTCTTTGTCTCTTTGTCTCTGTACCTCTATATCTTTGTATCTCCAATACCTGTCTCTCATAAATGTCTCTGTCCTCTACTATCTCTGTCTTTCCTTTGTCTCTAGATATCTCAGTCTCTTTCCCTCTCTGTCTTATACACATTCACTCACATTCTTTCTGTCTCTCTCATCACAGTCACTCGAATTCAGTAGTCATTGACTGACCTGAGACCCCAGCCTTCTCGCAGCCCTCTCAGAGAAGAACCTCCTTCTCCTTGTTAGGCTGAAAAATGCCAGGTCCGGAGCTGCTGCCGGGGCACCAGAGATGCTGCAGAACCCCCTGCCGAGTGTGGAGGCTGATCCGGGAACAACGAGAAATTATCTGTTAATTCTCGGCTCCTGCCACCTGCTCTGCTCCGAACAGGCTCCTATACCTTCAGTTTAAATGCAAATACCCCCACTCGTTGTAAGCAAAATATTGATTTCCCTGCATCACAGTCCTGGGCCCATGGAACAGTACTGTGTTTTTTCATTCCCTGCAAAGGCAAAACAAGGCGCTTTGTTCTGCGAATTTCCCCGCGAACTCGGGGAGGGGAGGGAGAAATCGCCGCGGAGTGACAGAGTTGCCAATAAACACGGGCAGAGAGCAGTTCGTCTCCATTTGTATTTTATATAATCACAAACCTGCTGCCTCGGGAACTGCTAATGAGCACGTAACTGAGGAACCTCTGAGCTCTTGCTTCTGCCGGGTGCTGAAGTCTGCATCGGATGATGGGTGGCGGAGGGAGAGGTGATGGGGCCTCTGGGCTCCTCAGGTGGGTTCTAGAAACACCAGGAAGGCTAATGGGGAGGACACAACCTCATTTGTGCTTAGAACAGTAACCAAGCACTTCCCACAGGTAGGCGGCCTGGATTGCATAGCGTCGCCGGGGTCACGCCTGCTCAGTCCCTCCAGCCTCAATTCCTCGTCCCCTCCTCTCAAAAGCTCCGGAGGCCTTGGTAGAAGCTGCAAACCTGGCGCAATTGCCCCTCCCCCTCCCTGTCCTGTGCACCAACTGGGCCTTCAGCACCGTGGACAGAGCCAGGGCACGCAACCTGAGCCAAAAAGCCGCCTGGCTGAACTAGACTCTTCTCAGGCCTTGGCTTGGCCCGCGGTGTTGGGGCACTAGCTAATAGGGGTTAGTCAGCGCAAGAGTGGCGTGGCTGGTGCAAATGGCCGGCAGTGGAGACCTCCAGGAGCTGGGGCTCCGAATCTCCTCCCTCCGGAACGTGAGTCACCGCCCAAGCCACTTCCAATTAGTGTATTAATTAGAGGAAAGACCCTCCTCCCTCAGCTGCCGCAGCGACTCACACCAGTCCCGCGGCTTCCGGAAGCTCCAGTTAAAGTTTCCTTCTGAGCCTTGGGAAAGCAAAGGAACTCGAGCCCGCAGCTTCGGGTAAACCCCACACAGAAGGAGGGCTAACCCATCGAGCCACCGAGAATAGAGATTCCCATGGCAGGGCCTCCATAGGGCCCTGCTCACCCGGCTGAGCTTGGCAATGGCCCATAGACTCTTCAGGTCTGAACGAGGCGCCTTGGAGCCCCACAGCCAACCTTCTTCTGGGCCTCTCGCCACATTTCCTGGAAGAGTTTAGCCCATGCCTAGGCTCAATCTTCCTGTTTAGTTTGGGTCTTTCTGGCCCTTTTTGTGCTGGATAGTAAGATATATTATCTCTGATGGTGTCGCTCAGAGACCACTACGAGGAGGTGGACTTGTCGGGAACTGAGCGCCCTCTTGAAATGGCCCCCATTCCTATTGCCAGAAACTTTCCCCTCCCGTTGCCATGGAGAGAGACGGCCGCTGCCTTCCGTCGCCATAGCAACATGCGGGTACCGCGGACCTCGGGTACCGCGGACTGCAGAATTGCGGATCTCTGAAAGTCTTCTGGCAGTTTGCATCGCTCCGCAGTTTGGGGCCTTCACTTGCGAAGCCAGGACTTGGGGCAAGTCTGACTAACTTCTCCCGTCAGGAACCTCAGCCAGCGTCCTTCTGTGAACTTCGCAAGCTCAGCCCACTCATCCCGTTTTCTTCTATGAGTTTATCTATTTGCTGCCACTTGTGTGTCGTGTGGCAGTTTAACCAGTTTCCACAAGCACTATCTTTATATCCCCAGGCCGCCCATGAAGCACCGTCATCATTCATACCCCTTTCACAGAGAGGACAATCGAGGCTCAGAGAGGACTAAGGTCGTACAAGGCAATGCTGGAGCCAGATCCAGGGCTCTTTGCCTGACCTTGGACCCTCCAAGACGCAGGGCAGACCGGCTCCCCAGCCTCACACCCTCCCGGACCTAGGTCGGCCCCTGAATGTAGAGGGGGCGGCCTTGAGGCGCCAGACTTGCCAGCTGCCGCGGGGTGCCACGTGAGGGGCGGGGACCCTGCCGGGAAGTGATTTAAAGCCGAACGGAGGCGCAGGGGGCCGCTGCCGGGAGGGTCTTTCTAGGGCAGCCTTGCCCCGCCCCAGTCCGGCTGCGGCGCAGGTTCCAGCGGCTGCTCGGAGGGTGGAGGTGTCCCGGGCATGAGCGGGGTGTGGGGGTCCGGGGGGCCTCGGTGCCAGGCGGCGCTCGCGGTCCTGGCCTCACTGTGCCGGGCCCGGCCGCCCCCTCTCGGGCTGGACGTGGAGACTTGTCGGAGCTTCGAGTTGCAGCCCCTGGAGCGGAGTCCGAGCGCGCCAGACGCAGGTAACAGGAGACCCGGAGCCCCCTCCCTTCCTGGATGCTCGCCTTGGCTATTCCCCCTCCCCAAGGAGCCCAGGAATCTAGAGAGAAAACTCTTGCTCGGGATTCTCCATTTGGAACGAACCCCAGCCAGTCCCCTGGCCCATCGCCCTCAGGGCAATAGGAAAGACACGAGGAGACCAACAAGGTGAGAGAGAAACCTCTGGCCTCCTCCAGTGGGACAACTACAGGGGCCTCCACGGAAAGCCAGGCTCCCGGGACTCGGCGCCCCCTGGGGCCTCAGACCCCCCCTCTCGTCTCTCCGCTCGCGCGGTGGGCGATCTGCCAGGGGAGGGGTCGGTGGCGCAAGCAGGAGATAAGGGACATCCCAGTTGAGAAATAAAGGCTGTCTCCGCTGCGGCATCTAGGTCCCAGGGTCCGTCTATCAGTCAGTTTGTCTGTTCCCTCCGGGGACGCTGCTTGAGCCCCCTGAATCTCTCAGGGTGAAACTTGAGTCTGCGGCTGGCACGAGGTCTTTGTGTTCGGGTGTCTCTCTGGCTGCGAGTGCCTTTCTGCGTCTCCGCTGGGGGGCGGGGGGCGGAGTGGGGGAGGGTGTACCCCCCCCCCCCGCCCCTATAACTCGCTCCCTCGGTCTCTCTCTGACTCACTCGGACTCGCGGCCGGTGAGCGACTGAGCCAGTGCCTCTCGCCGACTTTGCCAAGAGGGCGCCTTCTGCCCGAGTGGCGCGGACCCTCTGCCGGACGCAGCCCCAGGCGGCCGCGGAGCCGAGGCGGGAGCCCGAGCCGAGTCCAGATCGCCAGAGCCGGTGAGTCCCGAGCCCGAGCCCCGCGGGGCCGGGGCCCGGCGCACAGCTGCAGAGTCTCCCAGGAGTAGCGACAGCAGGAATGGCCTGTCGCGCCCTGGCGGCTGGAGCCGCGGGAGGGTCGCAGGAGTGGCGGCTGGCCGGCTGCTGGTATTTACCTGCGGCGCCAGTTCCCTGCGGCCACTCTCTTCGGCTTCAGCGGGGCTTCTTTGTCTGGATCCCGACGTCTGGAGGGTCCCGGGCGGGAGGGGATGCAGGTTGCGTCCCATCTAGGAGGGGGCTGAGGATAGTGCGAGGCCTCGAGAGAATGCAGGGTGGGGGTGGGGACATTCTGCAGGGACCGAGGCGCCTCTGACTCCACCCCTACTTATTCCCCTACCCTGGCCCCAGTGGCACTAGGACTTCGGGTGCGGAGGAGTCGCCCGGCTACTCTGCACCGCGGGCGCAAGAAGGGTTGGAGGGGGCCGCGAAAGGCGGGAATTTTGTCCTCCCAAGTGCTTCTCCTGGGACAAGAAGCTGGGGACTGGAGCCAGAGTTTGGAAAGCAGGTACAGGTGGGGTAAGCTCCCCAGCAACTTCAGGTTCTAGGGCCCTGTTTTCACTTAAGGTCAAAGGTCAGAGATAGCGTTGGATCCCTGGTTAGGAGCAGAGCCGCAGGCTGTGTGTGTGTGTGTGTGTGTGTGTGTACTGGAGCCAGCCTTGGGGTGACTGGAGCTCACCTCAGTCCTTTGTGGATGATAGGGGGCGCTGCTCTGTCTCTGGCTTCCGCACTGTTTAATCAATGGGTTGATTACTGCAGCAGAAGGCACTAAGATTAGACATAAGGAAGAACTTTTAGAGGTTAGTATAATGATGGAGGTTGAAGATGTTGACTCTTTTTGGAGATCTCAGAATAGATTAGGGCCCACCAAGTATTATTAGATTCTGGTTCTCTACTGCCATCCCTTCCTACACTATCCAATTTCTCACACCCACCAGACAACAGTTTTTCCCAAGCCAGGGAGTATCTTCCTACCTCACCTCACTCTCTAGCTCCCTCTATCCTTTCCTCCAATAATCCATCTGCAGTGGAGCTCTTAATGCTGGTCCTGACCTCTTATACTCTATGGGTCTGAGCTGAGAACACACCTGTACTATTCTACCTAGGTCAGAGATTGCCTCTCCTTTCTGACCAGAGCTGGAAAGCAGGGGTGAGAGCTGGGGGGAGGGTTGGTAGTAGCACATCCTGTTGGAGGGAGACTCTGGTGTTCTGATTCCAGGATACTCTGTTGTCCGGAGTGACAGGTGCCTGTGCACTTACAGACTGTGGGTGAGACATACTGAAGGGGGAGAGCCAGTCAGCCTGATGAATCAGTATGCTTCCCCTGCAGGCTGCTTCAGAAGGCGAGTTTGAGTTGCCAGCCCTGGGGAACTTTAACTTTGGCTGCTGAGTCACCAGCCTCAGGAAGCCCTGGGGCCAAGCTAGGGGGCTGAAAAGAGTAGGGGAAACAGAGGAGACCCTTGATTACAGCAAAAGAAAGAGAGTAGAGAGTGCTTTGGGGGCATTAGGGGTTTAAGTGAGCTTGGGGTCTAGGGAACAAGTATGAAGTTCAGAACCAGGGCTCTAGGTGTCCTACCACTATGCCTGTTCCCTGTGTCCTAGAGCCACTGCCTGAGTCCAGATTCTCCAGGCAGAGAAATACTGGATCTTTTCAGTTGCAAATTTCGTGAAAAAATGCAAGTGGCTAGAGCAAGCAAGCCCAGGTCCCTTTATTATGTTATGTTTTTCCCTGCCTTCTTCCTTCTTTAAGTCTCTGGCTCATGGGATTACCACCAGCCTGAGATTCAGCAGTTGAGATTTAGATTCTATCACTTATTGAGACTCTCCTTTATGCCAGTGTTTGTGCTAGAAATTGCACAGGATATTTCAGTTAATCAAACTCTGACTTGGAAACATTTCTACACACCCTGTCTCAACTAAAGGCAAGTTCCCCTATTTCACTCAAATCTCCAAAGATAAAGTATCTGCTTTCCTCCTCAATCCACCTCTATCCCGGCCAAAGTGGACATTTACAGGCAGTTGTCCATGTTTCCTTGTGTCATTTAACTTGTGTCGGTGAATGAACTTTTTCCATAGGCCAAGGTGCAAAGGGTTGATTTGACAGCTTTGGTTCTGGACTTGAGGTAGTGAGCAAAGGTCCAGAGATGTTCTAGAAAATGCAGGAGACTGACAGGAGACCCCAAACTTCCCTGCCCCTCCTAGGCTGGCAGTCAGGAATGTTTATTCTCCAGCTTACCTGTGACCATGAGATAAACATAATGTCTGTCCACTTTTCTAATGATTTTGTAGATGTTCCGTGATTCAGCCATCTGGCTTTGAAGTGGCCTTTTGCAACATGAATTATTTTTTTTTTTTCCTTTTTATGATGGAAAATTAAATGCACAGCGTTTCATTAAAACACAAAAGTCCTGTTTCTATAACTTCAGTAATCAGCCTCACTCCTAGCTGAAAGCAGTTCTGCAGATTTTGCCCTCTTTGAGGAAAGGTATAATGCATGATCCTTTAGAACACATGGCAACGGTAATCTGATTCTATGATATGTTTAGGAGCATTGCTAAAACAGTGGTTAACCCCTTGACTGCTAACTGAAGCGTTGACAGTTCGAACCCACCAGTTGCTCCAAAAAAGAAAGCTGTGGTGCTTGGCTTCTATAAAGATTTACAGTCTTGGAAACCCTATGGGGCAGTTCTACTCTAACCTATAGGGTCACCATGAGTCAGAATTTGACTCAAGAGCAAAGGGTTTGATTTTTGGTTTTTATAGTATATTTTGCTCTTTAAGATTCTAGAACCAGGGTCCAGTAGGTAGGAGTTGAAAAGCCCTTAGATTTATAGTTCTAGAAGTTCTTCTCTTCCTCTGACTGTGGGAACTTCAAAAGTGAGTACAGTAGATCCAGAATACTCCATCTTTCCAAGCTCTGAGGAAAAGATGTATTCTCTCCTTACCGTTCTAACTTTACTCTGTCTTCCCTACCCACAGAATTGGGGGTAGAATATGAGGCTGAAAATAATTAGGATTGGAATTGAGGCATTTGGAGTAGGCCAGGTATCTTTAGGGTCTGTATAGAGTTGCCTGGAGTGGGAAAAGCATGGTGGAGAAAGTCCTGACCAAGCCAGGTGGAACTCTTGCTGGCCCTGCTTAGGAAATGAAGCCTCAAATGACTGGGCCATGTTTAGGAACTGAAATCAGAGCTCTTTGAAAGTAGAGGTGAGCAGGACTTCCATCTCTGGAGGCTCCCAGGTCTAATGGAACTATCTCATCCCTTCCTTCTCTCTCTTGGAGGTGCTGAGCTGTGTTTCTTATTCTGCGTGGACCAGGCTGACCTCTCCTCTCACTAGATGCATGTATGGGCAAGAGGAGGCACAGAAAAGGAAAAGAATCTTCCTTCTCTCTGTCTGACCCTCACTTCCATCACCCAGCCTTGATCCCCCCATTCAGAAGGGCCACATGCCCAGACTGATCAGGCAAAATGGTACAGTTACCATCAGGCCAAATAATCATGCTAATAATTACAAAATTGATGCTAATGCTCTGTTAGCTGTAATACTCCATGTTAGTCTCAGATTTATCCCCGAATCCCCTAATGATGGTGGAAGTGGGCGCTCAGTCATAAAGCTTGTTGCTGCCGTAATTAGTCCAGCATTGTCTCTCCTCATCACAGCTTTTTCAGGAGCATTAATTCTTTCTCTGTTTGGACTCTGCTAATTATCCCCATCGGTAGCTCGGCCTGGATCTCTGAAAGAAGGAAAGGAAGCAAAGGCCCTCACTCCCCCTCCCTCTAGCCCCAAATTTTAATTACAGTGAGTTCTTCTAATAAATTTACAAGCCAAACAGCAGAGCTTATTATTAATGGACCTCATCTATGAACCTCAGAACAGAGCAGCCCTTGTTTCCCCAACCCACACACACACACACACACACACAGAAATACTTCTCTCAGGTATGTCTCTGAGTGGGACTTCCCTAGTGGCCATTGGTTATTTGCCTGGTGGCTGATGGGTGGCCTGCAGTATCTACACTTTTCAGGAAAGAAGAAAGAGATGGCTGTGTATGTGTATGTATTGAGGGGCCAGTAATAATTCAAGTCTTCAGGGTTCTGCCCAGGTGCAGAGGGTCTGGCTACAAAGCAAAGGACTCCCTCTTATCTGCCCCACTTACAAC